GTGATTGTCTGCGAAGCATTCGGTCACGTTCTTGGATGTGAAATGGGCGTTACACAGAATTTCTTCGATCTCGGTGGACACTCCCTGATGGCAACAAGAGCAATATCCAAGATCATTGAGCGCACACAGTGTGCCATAACAGTCCGAGACCTATTTGACTGCCCAACGCCAGGAGCTTTGGCAAACAGAATCTCGAAAATCCGTTATGAAAGTAGCGAAGAAGCAGAGAGTGGCAGAATACAAGGCATTGATGAGTTTGCTGATCACGAACCGGTCGTGCACGATGAATGGAATCAAGCTGTGGAGGCGGCCGGCATTTGCACAGCAGACATAGTGCACATAATTCCGTGTTCTCCCTTTCAGGAGGGTGTCCTTACTGCTGACCTCGTCCTCGGAGACTCTCCCGCTTATTTGGCTACCATGAAGCTGAAGCTCGACGGACACCTGAACGTGAGAGCATTGCAATCAGCGTGGCATTTAACAGTAGCACGAGAGGAAATGCTTCGAACAGCCTTCATGCCATCGACGCAAGATATTTCTTTGAACGGAATGTGTAGTGGAGCCTTTCTGCAGGCCGTCCTCCGGTATGACTCCAACGAAGTGAAAAGGGTCTCGACACTACGGCAACAGGAGTACAATCAGCCGCCTGACCTTGGGATGGGCCATGTACCGGTTTCATTGGCATTGAGGCAAGGCGACGTGACAGGTTTCATGCAACTTGAATTGACAATGCATCATGCCCTATATGATGAAGCCTATCTGTCGTATATTCTGAACGGCCTGTCCCGTGATTATCACCATGCTCAGAGCCATAGCCTAACAAACGATGACAATAGCAGCCACATGCCGTTCATAAAGTTCATTCGCACGTTGCAACAGAAGGATCGATCAGTAGGCTCCTCCTTCTGGAAGAAATACCTAGATGGGGCACCAGCATGTACTTGGCCAATTCCATGTGGTCTCAGAGGTCCTATGGGTGGAATTCAATTCCCTCATGAAGTTCGTGCTGAATGGAACGGAGATGCAGAAGCACTGTCAAAGATTTACAGCACCACCCCGGCCGGTCTTGTTCGAGCAGCTTTAGCTTTGTCCATTGCTGTACATAGTGACTCAGACGACGTCATATTCGGTGAGGTGTCGAGTGGCCGAGCTCATTCGGAGTTCGTCAAAGGCCCATGCATCGCCACCCATCCGGTACGAATCTCGCTTGCAGTTAACTCGAAGCAGCATTCTAGTGACGGACGACGAGGGGGAGTTTCAATAGAAGAACTCCTCACGCGCACCCGTGATGCGTACTTAGACACGATGCCATTCCAGCATCTTGGACTCGAATCTATCCGACGCTTGACTGAGAACCCCGACTTGCTTCCTTTCCAGGTGCTTTTTGTTTTTCAGGCACAAGTCACGAATGCCAAGAATCACAGATTTCCATGGAACCGATTCAGTATTGCCGACGGTGAGCTGAAGCGTACGGACTTTCCCATGGTGCTTGAAGTGTTCTGTCAAGAGCTCACAGGCCATCTTCACATGCGATGTGTGTTTGACCCGGCGGCAATACTTCCAGAAGATGCAGATTGGGTGTTGCAGCATATCATCGACTCAATTGACCTCATGCAAACACGTTCCATGCAACATCAGGAAGATCAATACCCTGAGGCTAAGCTCGTAATCAAGGAGCGAGAGATAACTGTCATCGAACAATTGTTGGGCCACCAAGATGGGGGATCGTCTGAGGGCGGTGGTGCGTTGTCTACTGTTATCGAACTCTTTTGCAAGTGCGCAATGGAAATGCCAGACAAGATTGCTTTGCAAGTTCAAAGGAGTGATTTTGTTACGTTCAGACAACTCGACGACCTAAGCAATCAGATTGCTTTCGGCCTTGAAGAAATTCTCAACTATCTAACAAGTGCAACCACCAAGCAGCGATACGTGCCGATCTTCTTCGAGAAGTCATATCACATGGTTGGCGCCATTTTGGGCATCCTGAAGGCCGGAGCAGCTGTTGTTCCCATGGACATCGACCATCCGATGCAGAGGCTGGAGACAATATGCGTAACAAGCGCAGCCAATGTCTTCCTTTGGGACGGTATAAGTGGTGGCGAGAAGCTACAAAGTCTTGTCAAGTCAACGGGAGCAACTGCACTGACAGTAAATGATCTTCTCCAGTATACCAGCCAGACGTACAAGCACAAAACTTTACCCCTGGACTCTCTGGCTTATGTGCTTTTTACCTCAGGAACGACCGGTATTCCAAAAGGAGTGATGATCAATCATCGGAACTTGGCATCATTTTTGTCCTCCAATAGAGGAAGTACTGACTGCTCATGGACTTCAAACAGACTCGCGCTTCTTGCTCCTACCTTTGATGCGGCGATGGGAGATTTGTTCGCCACGCTCTGCAAAGGTGGCCGTCTCTTGTTGGGTAAACAACAGGATATTCTCTCCGGATTGAGCCATTGTTTAGAAGATCTGAGTGTCACACATCTGTCACTAACTCCCACATTGGGTACGCTGATACTGAACGACCTTGACAACGAAGGGCTATCTTTTCTGCGCTCTTTGGTCTTTGGGGGTGAGCCTTTCCCACTCAGTACTTTGAGCCGCGTACCCAGGACAATGAATGTCTGGAATGGTTATGGTCCTACCGAGGCGACCATTGAGATAGCAGCCTGCAAGGTACAAGGACCAGATGTTGATGTGTGCGGAGGCCGATCGTTTGTTCCCATCGGAGAGCCCGGCCAGAACAGACACATTCGGGTGTTATATCCCGAAACTTCGGAGCAAGTCCCACTGGGTTCAGTTGGTGAGTTATGCATTAGTGGACTACAAGTGGCACAAGGCTATCTAGGCCAAGCTGACTTGACCGCGAAACATTTCACACCTGACCCGTTCTCGCCGACGGGGCGGGGGAGAATGTATCTTACGGGAGATAGAGCAAGACTCCACGGAGATGGGTACCTTGAGTACCTTGGTCGCCTGGATGGGCAGATAAAAGTTCGCGGCTTCCGAATTGACACTGAAGAGGTTTGCTCGGTGGCGCAGAAGCATCCACAGATCATTGCATGTGCAGTGACTAAGCTTCAGAGCAGCGGCAGCGGAATTGAGACCCTGACAGCGCTTGTTGAAGTAGTCCATCCACTCCAGCCCGGAGATGTCATATGTGAAGCCACGGTCAAAGAGCATCTGGCCCAAAGCCTTCCTTCCTATATGGTTCCAGCCTTCATCTGGGTGCAGACAACACCCTTACCGCGTACAACAAGTGGTAAACTAGACAGGATCGCTATCACCAAGATGGCCGAGGACAGACATAAAGAGAGTCTAAAAGACCGTTCGAGGCACCCTCACACGCCTGTTCGCGCCGCGCCGGGAAGCCTAGAAGACAAAATAGCTTCACTCTGGGCAAAGGTGCTGGGGATCAACGAAGACTCTGTTGACATCACTGCAGCTTTTCACATCATGGGCGGTGACTCCATTCGCGCAATAGCATTGCTTGCAATACTTCGTCGACAAGAGCTACACCTCGATTTGATAGACGTTTCACAGACTTCAACAGTGCAGTCGCAAGCAGCCAGAGTTCGTCAGGGGTCAGCCGCCAAAGACAATACAAGTTACCTACATTTTCACATGCGCCAAGGAAGTATGGCAACCATTGTCCTTGTTCATCCGTTCCTTGCGCAATCCACGGTATTCGAGCCACTGCTGCCATTGCTAGACGGCACGATTGATGTCCTCCTAGTTGACGACCCATTCATGGGCGCAGCTCGTTATCCCGATACGCTTTCGCAGTGGGCTAGTCGTTACTTGACTGATATGAAAGAGCATATTCAGGCTGACCACCCTGTGATATTTGGGGGGTATTCATTTGGTGGAGTCATTGCATTCGAGATGGCCCATAAATGGGACCAATTATACGGTGCCCATTCCAGCTCGGTAGTCCTTCTCGACCCTGGCACTTATGAAGTGGATAGCAGAGTATGGAAGGGTGAAAGTGAGAACGACAATTTGATTATGAGCTCGCTGGGCAGATCGGAGATCAGTCCTCAAGACATTATACCGCTTCGAAAGTGCTTTGACGGCTATGTTAGAGCCTTGAAGCAATCTAAAAGTCCACCAGTCTATGAGGGTAAGTGCCTTCATGTGGCGTTACCCGATCGGCTCCAGGACGGAGTCGTAGGTTGGTGGAAGGCACATTGCACCAACATCACTTTGGGCGTCTTCGACTGCGACAACCATTACGCGTTAATGAAGGATGCAGGCTGCATGGCTAGAATCAGTCAGTTCATTAATGAGCACTGCACCGCCGTTATAGAAGAGAATCGAGCAGTGAGCAGCGCGAGTTCAGAGTCCCGGATGTATGGGGGATCTTCGAGAACCGACGTGTCGACGGAAGATGGAGACCACGAAGGAGCAGACCAGGTGACTATCTAAATAGGACTAGCGCGTCTCTTCGTATCTACAGCCCGATCCGGAATAGTCGGTCGGGCATAACTGTTCATGATTTGTCATCTATGAAGATTCAAGCCAGCCTCCAAGATTCCCAGATGTAGATGGTTGACGAACTGAAACATCCGACAGAAACCATTATATCCATTTGGGGCCAGACGAGCGGATCAATCATATATATCCCTCAATAGCTACAGGACCCACTTTGGTAACCCATTCGCCGGAAGAGGTATCACTTCACCACCGCTGTTACCTACACTTTAGTGCATTAACAAACTAGACACCATGCCTGTCAGCACTAGTTCATAATAAGCAAGCTCTGTTGTCTCGAATCTTTGATTTGGGGCTAAAATCATGGTTCTCGACCAGTCAAATCCAGATTCCCGACTAAGGACCGCTACATATAAAGTTTGACCTACACGCTCCGAAACTTGCTTATCTTCAATCTACCACCACAGACATCATATATACTCGGGGCAGTCACTACCCTCAATTAATAGCTCATTTACGCAATTCGTATCGTAAGGGTCATCCCATTAACACCCAACTGCATAAAAATGGGCCAATCTCCCTCGACCCCCCAACCCGGCACCAAACTCAGCGTCATCGGCGCAGGCCTCCCCCGAACCGGCACAGCATCCTTCAGCGCCGCCCTCGCCATCCTCCTCAACGGCCCAGTCTACCACGGCGGCACGCAAACAACAACAGGCCCACCGGAAGAAATCACCACATGGATGAAAGTCATGCGCCTCGTCCTCAACGACAACGCCCCGGACCGACAGCAAGCCCTCGCCCTCATAGACCGGCAATTAGACGGCTACGCCGCCATCACAGACGCCCCGGGTACCCAACTCGTCCCAGAACTGATGGAAATCTACCCCGACGCCAAGGTCATCTGCACCGTTCGCGACCCGGTAGCGTGGGCGAAGAGCATGGCACAACTGGAAGGTCTGGTGCGATCGTCGTGGTTTCTGCGCGTTATAATGCTGCCGATTCCTGGAATGAGGCATTTTATGGATTATCTGGCGTTGGTTGCTCTGCAATGGCGGAGGATATATGGGAGGAATGGGGGTCCGGGTGGTGCTTATCATAAGCATATTGAGTGGTTGAAGGAGGTGGTTCCAGAGGAGAGGCTGGTGTTTGTTGATGTTAGGGATGGGTGGGAGCCGTTGTGCAGGGCGCTGGGGATGGAGGTGCCGAAGGATATACCATTTCCGAGGATTAACGATTCCGAGGCGATCACTCGGACTGTGAGACAACATGTTCGTCGGGGGTTGATTCGGTGGGTGGGTCTGTTTGCTGTGGTTGGTGGCGTGTCATTTGGGATGTATTTTCTGCGGAGGTGAAGGGAGTGCCATTGGCGTGTATGGTTTGATTACCTTTAAACGCTCCATAACCTACCGATGCAGAAAATATAAACTAGGTATACTACATTTCTACCAAGGCGTAATAACTAACTTCCATTTGAAGACTTGCACCTGTTTAGGTGGCATGCAGAGCATATATATAATCCGCGCCAATTTTTCGTGCCGCGAGAGATACCGATCCAAGGTGGAGAAAGCATGCATCTGGTCGGTGTCAGACACAGACCCATACTCCTACACTAGTACACAGGCGAGAGGTCTGCGGTATTCGGTTCAGTGTTAGTGATCAACGAATCAATTCATGTAGACACCGATCAGTTGGGGGTTTGCTTCCGGGCAATTGGCATCAATACGCGGTATCATTACACAATGGTATTCTAGCACCGAACCAGGCATCAATACCACTGGAACAAAGACAGCCCTAACCGACCAGAACATCTGCCAATTTCGGACCCCATGAGCTCACCTGTTCACAGATCAGTCAGTCACTCAATCTTCATTCATTACTTGCACAAGTTCTATATATAAGGAAGGAGGCAACTCACATTCGACGCATCCATTAATGAAAAGTGATTCCCCTCAACGCGGATCACTCGCACATTATCCAGTAAATCCTCCCACCCCAGTGCCCCGTCGTCGACCCGATCATCCAAAAACCAATCCACAGCGCTCTGTTCGTCGCTTTCCACCTTCGGTCGAGGCACGGTCTCTTGCTTGTCGACCCCCTCGCGCGCTGAAAAGAGAACCACGTCTCGGATGACACCCTCTTGCAACTCCCGCAGCGGACGCACACGGTATTGCCGCAGCTGTTCCCGAGATAAAGTGAAGTGGGCGCTGCTGCCCACGGTTCCCTGGGCACTATTATTGTGGTTATTGGTCGCGTCAATCGTATCCAGGAACTGCACTAGTTCATCAGGGAATGAGTGCACCTTGCTTGGGCTCGCCGAGTCGATCAACATCAGCCGCTCCACGATATCACCCGCTTCCACCAGTTGGCGCGCTGCCTCGAAGGCCACCACCCCGCCCAGCGAGTAACCCCCAATGAGATACGGTCCCGTCGGCTGTCGCTTTTTGATCTCTTCCATATAAATACTTGATAACACCTCAATGGAGGGTAGCTGATCGATATTAACGCGATTCGTCGCCACCAATGACAGGAATGGGCTACTGAGTGCGTAGGCCGAAGTATCCGGTACGCGCGCCAAGTACGGTGCTAGCGCCGTGAAAACGGCCCCCGATCCGAATCCGTCGGGCATTAGGAATAGATTGCGCTGTCGCGTCACAGCGACGGGCCCCCGATGCAATAGAGTTGAGGGCGTTTTGAGGTTTTGCTGCAGTTCCTGCCATGGCTTTGGGGCAGCAGGAGTAGTGAAGCCGCACACCACCTGCACACCGCGCTTTTCTTGGCTGACGCTCTCAGACCAGTCAACGTGCGGGAAACCGGCTTCATGCATCACACGCTCCCAGGCATGTGGGCTCTGCAGTGGGTAGTCCCGGCCGTCGTCGAAAAGCCACCACCCATCCAGGAGGCCCCAGACCAGGTCGTACCACGGCAATTTCTCCGTCAGTTCGAGTAATGCTACGCATCCGTCATCTGGACGCAGGACCCGGCGTATATGCTGCAGGCTCTGGCGGAGGTCTCGGGTTGCATGAACGCAGTTGGCGGAGATGACCAGGTGGTAGTGCCCGTGGTGCTCCGGCTCCGGGACTGCCTCGAGATCAAATTGGCGAAACTCCATGCAAGCGACGCCCGCAAAAATTGACCGTTTTGCACGCGCGAGAAGAGAGACAGAGAGATCGGTAAAGGTGTAGGTAAAGGGAATTCCAGTGGCCTGGAGTAGCGGGATGAGATGTTTGGTTGTGCCTCCGGTGCCAGCACCGACTTCGAGTATGTGAAATGGCTCTGTGTCGTTGGCGGCTTCCGCATGAGCACTGATGGCAGCCGAGACAAAGTCACACAGGACCTGAGTGGCGGCGCGAATATCGGGTGCATTGGCGTGGAACTCTTCGAGCAAGTGTCGCCCACGCTCACTGCCAAAGAGAAGAGGCACTGGATCGGCGTGGCCGATGAGGTACTCGGCGAGGTGCGGTCCGAGAAGATCAGGTAGCCCGTGGGTGGATGCAAAGACAGGAAATTCCTCCATCAACTCCTGGCTCAGCTGGGCTGCAAGCTTGACTGGAGGGGATGTGGGTCCGCAGATAAAGACTTCGTAGTCGGCTTCCGGTTTATGCCTTATGATGTTGGCTTCTACAAGAATGTTATGCAGTCGGCGTACGAGACGATGATACTTGGGTAGTATTCCTTGCAGAAGGGGCAACGTCTCCCCGGGCTGGAGCTCGCGGATTGGACACCCCAAGTTCTTGAACGCTTCCAAGATAAATGCAGACACGACTTGCAACTGCACAGGATACACATTCTCCCAGTAGCCTGACAGCTGGAAGGCTTTGGCATGGGCGTCGTAATTGCGGCGGATCTGCTGAAAGACGGTTGGCATAACTGGGTCCGATGGAGCCACTGCATCCGAGATGCCGGATGAACCTGTGGTTGGGGTCGGCTTGGCATCCTCCAGCCCCAAAGCATCCGCGAGCAGATCCAATAGGGAATCCACATCTACCAACCCTGAGAACTCGGCTGAAGAGAGCTCAACATTTAATGATTCCTTGATGTTGTTAATAATTTCGGGGGTGATGAGTGAATCGACGCCAAGGTCCTCGAGGATTGAGTCCTGTCTAATTTCGGATACAGGAACCTCCAGGGAATGACTAAGAATTGCAGAGACCGCTTCTTGCCACTCATTGTTGACTTCAGGGGTGGTCTCCCTGCCTGGGTCGGATGTCTGCATGGCGACGTCGTGATCATCAGGATCAGCACGTCCGAGCCGCATTCTGACAAGATCGCAGAGATCTCCGACTGTATTCAGCGATGTGAACTCGTTTGCAGATATGTCAATGTCAAATAGGACCCGGATACTGGACAAAATTTCCGCGCTAACAAGTGAGTCGGTTCCTAGCGCTCTCAGCGTGGCAGGTCTGCTCACGTCCTGACAGGGTACATCCAGACACATACTGAGGACTGTTTGGATCCCATCCAAAATAAAACTACGGACTTGAGGTATAGTTGGCGGAAGAGGAGGGGAATTCTTGTCCGTAAGTTCGGAGGTCATCTTCTCGGCCACAGGCTTTCTCTGCAGCACCTCCCTGGAATCGTGCACAGATGGCATTGAGGCTGCCAATGCCTTAGCCAGTGAAGGGCGGGGAACCCTCGAGAACCTGAGGCCCTGCGCGGTCCAAACCATCGTAGCGCTATCGGCATCGAAGGCAAGGAGATCTAGCCTGATCTCTTTCTGATCCTCTCGCAAGATCTTCGCATACACCCTGTAGGACTCGCTGCACGGCAGCTTTGTCAAAGGACCAACTGATCCCATTCCCGTGCAGATAAACGACATGTCACTGTCTTCATCATCTGGATTGTCTGCAACACGCAGAGAGTGCACAAAGGCTCCGGGAACCTGCATGAAGTTATCCAGAATCAGTGGGTCAGCGATACTGTCGTTAAAAGATCGGTCTCGCTCATTAGCCTGCTCCGGGCTTGTGAGAGGCATAGAAATAACCCCGGCTGCTTCTTCTCCCTTTCCCACAATCAATCGTAGGCCTCGGTATATAGCGGAGTACTTCACCATTCTGGAAAAGACCTTATATACCATGGGACCACGCAACTCGTCCATCTCCTGTTCTTCTTCGAGAAGACGTGTCAGACGCGCCCACCCGCCCGAGTACCCTGACGGCACGCCTGTATTCTGCGCCTGTAGGGATACAATGCCGGTTGCATGGTATATCAACTTTGACGGCAAATTTGGCTTGCCAAAATTGTTGGTGGATGAGAGCTGGAATTTGAAATCTCCGTTTTTCTTCTTATTCAACGTCAACAAGACAGGAAGCTGCGGATCCAGCCCCAGCGGCGCCATTATGTCTAAGTCTTGAACCCAAACATCACCACTCTGGTTGGCGAGCGGCGCTGTATGCCCGTTCCACTCGGCTTGGACTACAGCATGAGTTACCAACTCCAAATACATAGCGGCGGGACTGATAGGGGATCCGACAACAACATGGCCCTTCACCAGCTTCTGATACCGGGGGCTGCGTGGATCAATACGGAAGATTATTTCATCGTTCGAACCGGGCGGCAACCCCTCCAGTGTGATGTAAGGATATTCGTCCGTTTCCTTCCCGCAGTGAGGACATGTCCCAGAGTGCTGCTGAGCATGCTGTAAGTTTCTGTTCCCAGACTGGATGGGAATATGCTCCAGCCAATGCGGATATTTCTCGAATTGATATTGCGGCAGGGTCATAGGGCGATAGCTCGCTCGTTGCTTTGGATGAAAGGGCCAGAACTGCGCAGAAGGATGGCCGTTCTGCCACAGCAAAAGTACTGCCTCTGCTAGCCCGCGAACTGGGTCTTTTCCATCGACTGGTACGAATGTATGCAGCGATTGGTGTTTCGAGGAAGTAAGGGAAGGCGAAAGCGCGTTCCGGGCCATAGAAACGACGGGGCCTCCAATGCCAGCTTCGAGGAAGATACATGGACCCCCTTCTAGTCGGCTGACAATTCGGTAAATTGCTTCGGCAAAGAATACTGGTCCCCGAGTATTGCGAGCAATGAAATTTGTCCCTGGGCCTGTCCACGGATCCTTGTGGCATGTTTCAAATGGAAGGGCTGGTGTCTGTAAGGGGTAGATTTAGCCTTGAATGTGGGCTCGTCGAAGTGTTGGTGATATGGACAGACCTGAAATGGTATTGTATCTGACAGTCTGGCACATTCATCGATGATCGAGTCTGCCATAACGGAATGATAGGCATGCATCCCACGCAACATCTTAAATCTGAGCTTGACGCCGCGACGCTTCTCCTGACTCAAGTCAGTCTCCAAGGCATCCATGGCCTCCGTCCGCCCAGCCACAACGTAGTTATTGGGACCATTATAGCAGGCAATATCGAAGGTAAAATTTGGATGTTTACGACGGAAAGGCTCTAGGTGTTGGCTGGCTGTTGTCTGTGTCCCCACGAGATCCGTCTCGATGGCAACCATCGCTCCGGGATCAGGACCCCAATGTTTTCTGATGATGGATGCGCGTCCTGCTTTCTCATTTAGTGCTAGCGCAGCTTTGATACTTGAAAGTATACGAACTGCACCCGGTTAGTAACTGCGTTGAATGATGACGAAATAACCGAATCAACCTACCCAATAACGAGCTTTAATCCTGCCTCGAGCGTCATTGCACCCGAGACAGTCATCGCAGCCCATTCCCCGAATGAATGCCCACAAACTGCATCTGGCTTCAGCCCACATTCGAGCCATGTCATACCAGATGAGTACTGAATGGCAAACATGGCAGTATGGCGGAGAACAATGTCAGTGCTTCCGTCGATGCCGCCTAGTATAGATGGAAATAAATTAGGGCCGTGCAGGGACTGTACCACTTCATCACAGCGGTGTAGAAAGTCCCGGAAGATTATTGACGTGCCATAGAGTGGCTGAGCAGCAGGAACGGTATTGCCATTCTGTCCGCTGAAAAGAAGAACAATGGGCTGGCGTGAGGTTTCGCGCTCCACGGTGTATCTTTCAGGACTGGACAGCCGGGAGTCCAGTTCCTCCACTGCATCAAAAGTGAGCACGTAGTGGATATGTGCCTTACTTGAGTCCGACTTTCATTAGCAAGAAGGTATGCTTACCAGATGTGACAGTAGTGGCGAAAGCATGGCCAAGCTGCCGATTCTGCTTGCTGCTGAGTGCGAAGCCGAGATGATCGCCCAGCTCCGGACGAAAGTTAGGTTGCAGAATCAGCTCCCTTAGCTTCTGACAGTAGGCTCTTATGCTGGCTTTCGACGCTGCAGAGATTGAGACAGGCCATGCTGATAGTATTTGTGAAGAGACGGACGTTAAAGGAGGCAAAGACTGTGCAAGTTGTCCTGGCGGCGGAGGCGAGGCCACCAGGGCCGCGGCATTGCTCCCAGACGCACCGTAGCTATTCACCAGAGCCACTAGGGGGCCACTAGAGCTGTGCCACCCAAGGATAGAAGTGGGAATGGCCATACAATCCGGCTCAAGGGCAGTAATGTTGGGGTTGAGTCGCTCAAAGTTCGCCTGTGGTGGAATCTGGCGATGCTTCATCATCAGCAAGACTTTAATCAGAGAGATTACCCCTGAGGCACCCTCTGAGTGTCCAATGTTAGCTTTTATTCCACCGATATGTAATAGAGAGTCTCTATTAGGCCCCCCTAGCACCTGTCTGATTCCTTCAACTTCAATGGGATCACCGGCGCGCGTCCCGGTGCCATGGGCTTCGACGTAAGATACCTGGCTGGATGAGATACCCCCTTGGGTCAAAATCTTACGATAGAGTGCTTTCTGACTGTCCAATACTGGATTAGTAATGGTGGTGTTGTTGATATTCTGATTCTCCTCAGTCCCTAGAAGAATGCCCCGAATCTCGTCTCCATCCTGCAGTGCCTGGGATAGAGGCTTAAGGACCAGGACCCCAACGGCCTCACCTCGGCAGTACCCATCTGCCCGAGCGTCGAAGGTTTTGCACGCACCGGTCTCGCTGAGGAAGCCTCCGCTTCGCAATGCGTCAAAAAAGACCGAATTGGTGATCAAATTGACACCCCCCGCAACTGCCCTGGTACAGTCCCCTGCTTGAAGGGCACGACAGGCCTGGTGGATGGCCACCATGGCTGAAGAACAGGCTGTATCAATGACATGGGAAGGGCCAGTCCACCCGAAGTGATGACTCAGGCGACCCGCGACAAAGGATCGCATCATCCCAACTCCTGTATAGGGGCTGGGGGCGTGACTTCCTAGATTTAGAGGGTAATCTGGGGCATTCATACCAATAAAGCAGCCTGTGGTATTTCCGAAACCCGGTCCATTGTGTTTCTCGGGTATTTTTTCCTGTGCCAGCCATCCGGCTGACTCTAAAGCATGATAAGTCGTCTCAAGTAGAAGCCGTTGGTGAGGGTCCAGAGCGGCTGATTCGCGTTTGGACTTGCCAAAAAAGCCATGATCAAAGGATTCGGGGTCAGGGAGGAAGTTTCCCCACAATTTGGGGTCTTTCCTTGCGGCAGCTTCAGGGAAGCGTCTTGCATCAATCTCCCGCACTGTCGTCTGTCCAGTCCGAATCACATCCCATAAGTCATCTGCCGTATCGCCTGCAGCCGTGCGGCATGCCAGTCCAACGACTGCCACCGCGTGGGCTGGATAGTCCCACTGGGCTTGCCGCACAGGTTTGCGTGGTGTGATGTCTTGGAGTATGGGGTGTCGCACTGGCTCGTCTGCTTCAAGTGTCACAGCACGGACCACGGCGACGTGATCGGTTGCGAGCTGAGCTACCCGGTCTAATGTAGCAAGTGCCTCATCTGGGGCCATGTACTCAATACCTCGGGCTTGCATGCCGCGATCAATCATTCGCGTCGTCGATTTGTTCTGCGCCACCAGTCCCACTCCGCGCCAGGAGGTCCATTGGATGGAGGTACAGGAATCTCCCTGCTGCCGTCGGTAGACTGCGAATCCGTCTAGAAAGGCATTTGCTGGCGCGTATGTAAGCTGACCTGGGAACCCGACAAGTTGTCCCACGGAGGAGGTCAGCAGGAAAAAGTCCAGATCCCCTGGTGAGAAGAGAGCGTCCAAGGCCAGCGCACCACGCGCTTTGGGCGCCATGGTGTAATCGAGGTCGGAAGGTTCGCATCGGTCCAACGTGTTATATTGGGCAACTCCGGCGGCATGGACGACGCCTTTAATCGGCGGAAGGTGAAGACAAGCAATTCCCTGTCGAAGGGACTTTTCTGCCTCAGGTAGAGCGAGATCAATACTCAAGCCGTGTACCGTGACACCTCGACTCTGCAGGTCCTTCATGTGGGATGTGAGCGTGTTGTTACTATCATCGCTTGCACCTTTCTCTAGTCCATGGCGCGCCACCAGAATGATGTTCCCGGCGCCACGCTTGCCCATCCAGCCTGCGATCTTTAGTCCCATGCCCCGTGTACCGCCACTGATAAGATAGGTGCACTCTGGTCTTAGCCGGAGACGCGTTACAGCGTCATCTGGCTGCTTCGGGCAAGGCTGCAGGCAAGCTATGTGGGGAACGCCATGACAGATTCGAACCACATCAAAGCCCTGCGCATACTTGATTGCATCAAGTGGAAATGACTCCGGTTCTGCTTCGAACAGTCCACCGAAAGTGTTTGGCATTTCCATCTTCAAAGCCCGCGCCAAGCCAAACAGGGGAGCATGCCCAAGTTGGCCAACACCAGTCGCGGTAGTAACGACGGTAAACACCTTATAGCCGTCATGTTTGGAAAGGATTCGTGTCGCTGCTATCAGACTGTTGCAGGATTCTGTAGCAACTTCATAGACGCTGTTCTTTTCCCTTCCCAGCTTAGGGAGATGAACAATAATAGTCCCAGAACTCAGATGTAATGGTATCTCGGTAGCGTCTTTGACTACAAGTACCATGTAGCCCGCGTCGATCAGCTGTCCTCTGTACACAAGAAAGTCTTCCTGCTTCGAATTGGGGTTAAGCACAAGAATAATCTTCTGAAAGGAGATGGGTGCATCAGATAGCGTGGCAGGCTTCCAATTCACCTTGTGAAAGGGGTCTTGGGTATCCATCAGAGGCGATTCGTAGGTGATTTGGGTCTTTGCGGTATCTCAATGGCGCTATGGGGGAGCCTGGCTAGTGGGAGGACATTCCACCTGGTTAAGGCATTGACTGTATCCGCTGCCGTTACCAGTGCATGACTGTATCGGGCCTCCTACCACTTACCTGTAAATCATAGTCCTGATGAGAGCCCTATCCCTGCCGGTAGCGATGCACAGCAATGGTGTAAACGCAGCATCGCCCTTGGGAGCTGATCGTCCCGAGTCAGCAGCAAGCATGTTTCACATGAATCTCGGCATGACATAGAAAGACCAAGTGACCCTGCAGTCTTACGATGCCTCTATAGAGAGATAATGGTAGACGCATGACTGAACTGAAGGCAGACGTGTTGATGATACCACGGAACATCTGATTGGAGTATACTCCCGCGGCGAAGTCATTTCTTATGGTCCGAGCAACGGTTACGCTGCATTTCTCCCTGCAGTTTGTGCGAGGCACTGGCTACGTTTAGATGTGCCGGTCTTCAAAGTTCCCCTTGCATTGGAGCCTTGATGGAGTGAGGGGGTAATGACACCAACGAGTAAGGAGAAGGAGCAGGGAAGATTAGGCATCCACCCATCTACCAGCAACTGTTCTCGGTTATGTAAATGCAAGGACCGGTTGATAGGGCTGTTATGACCACGCATTATATGCAATACAATTTTTGGTACGTGGCTTGTGTGTAGTTTTTCCTACGTTCAACACGTGTCACGTCTTATCTCTATTAGTTTCTACCAGGGGCGGCTTTCGTGGATCACAAGTGACCGGTATTAGAGTAGTATCTCAGCAGACAAACTTGTAGCATTCTCATTCTCTTGAGGTTACCAAACAATTCTCCAATCTGCAAATATGCATGAAAATAACAGCGATATCCAGTGGTCGTAGCCTAGTTATCTAAGCTTCCTGTCATCAATGTCTTTCGTCGTCCTTCGTATCAGCACCTTTCGTGAGTTTCCCTTACTCCCGTCTTTTGATCCGGCAAGTAAAGCCTCGGTGCTTGGAAAAAAAACAATTCTCCCATTTGAATGGCAAAGGCTCCACCAGTTGTAACTATAGTTGTTAGCTTTGCGTTAAAAAATGTGGACGATGCGGCTCCCTACTTCGTAATTCACGAACAGAAATGGTAGAAGCTTTTTCAATTCCACAATCCCAATCTGCTTACCCAGACACACGCGTCTTCCGGCGCCGAACTATAGTCCAGTTACTTTTTCATCATCGCTAACACCGTAAAGACACCGTACATACCGTGAGCAGGCTCTTCTCCAGTGTCTTTCTGTGGCTCTCGTCTCCTTCAAGCCATCTCTCTGGCCTCCAAGCCTCCACGTCTGGCCCAAAGGTGCCTTTGTGACGATTGACGACGTAAGCATTACCTCCTACGTTAGTTCCCTCGGGCAAATAATGACCGAGTACCGTCACACCACCTCGAGGAGTAACCCGCTCAAAGGGAAGAGCGAATGGGGGATGCACACGTGCAGCTTCCTGGATACAAGCGTCCAGATAAGGCAAATCACGAACTTGTTCCCACAGTGGGTATGGCCTGGTCAGGTTCGCTCCGTCGAGTTCGCATTGCAGCTTTTCGAGGGAATCGGGGTGAGAAAGGAGGTTAACTGTTTTGTGTCAGCGGGACAGTCTCTATCTTCACTTACGCGCAAAACAATTGCAATCTTCACCGCCTCTCTGGGGCCATGGGGATCGAACTCACTACCCAATTGTTAATCTCTGGTTTAAGCATCACATAACACTATGCTAAAGAAGACAGGCTGACTCACCACACGGCAGTCTTCATTACTGTCCCAACAGAGTCGGAGCCAGCGATGATATTAGAAAAGGTCCATGCGGTAGAAGCCCTATGAGCAGTATCCGTATCAGGAAAAGCTCTTACCCTGCCCAAGAATTAGTGCGGGGAGAAGGATTCATACCATGGTGGAAGCTTTGAACTCTGGCGATGGATCTCGAGGAAACGGTCCAAAAAATCTTTTCTGCGAGGTGGGGTGTTGGGATCCTCCTTGTCGTTGCCTTCCTTAGCCATCCGCTCCTTGATAGCCCTGCTTGCAAAGTCTAAAATGGACATTGACGGTGTCTTTTTCTGTAGCTTTCGAAGGGTATGCATCAAACGATTTTTGTACAGAATTGGGTCAAGCCAGGTTATTTGTGTCATCTGCAATATGAATTATCATCGTTATCAATCTTTGTTCGTTTTTAAGTCCAGAGTTTAGGGCAAGACGCACCGGTGCTGCCAGCTGGAAGAACCGATAGACCTCACTCAGCATACCATTCACATCACGACCTTGCTCAAGAGCGCCATACTGCTTTGAAAATGACAGGGTCCCCATGACATCAAATGAGAAAAAATGTAGCCAATCGGCGCAGTCGAATGTCTCACCCGTGGCCACGAAGCGCTCATCCAACTGCTTAGATAGAACTGCAAGCACTTCATCCACTAGACCTTCAAATTGAACTACACTGGAGAGTGAGAAGAGTGGCGCAATTGGGCTCTTGATTAGCTTATGCATTGACTCATCCTGGGTGTTGAATACTAGGTATATGGGGCCTCGTTCGCTTGTATAAGGACGCAAAGCAGAGTAAAGATCACCCTGGGACAATCCTTAGTTCAACCTCAATTGCTGATTAGGGGATAAAGAGAAGGAGAAGTTGATCGTGGACAAACCAACCTTGGGGAAGCCGGGCCGAACAGGATAGACGGTAGGAATAGCTTCGGGGTTGCTAAAGGAAACCATGCGGGGTCCAATGCGGACGACATCCCCATATTTTGCGTGTGCGGCTTGATGGTAGAGATGCGCGCGACCGGTTATTTGCCACCATACACGAGGCAGGTTGGAGATGCTGGCGAGAAATGGGCCAGGGATGTGCCTCAGCGACCACCATGTTCGAGCAAGTTGGAGAAGGCCCAGGATGAGCGTGAGGCCTCCTGCCCACAGTAGCCACCATCCTGTAGTTGCTGCCGTGAGCTGCTGCCATCTTTCAAGGAGAGAATACAGTGCAGGGATGCCATTAAAGGTCTCCATTGTGTTGGGACTCCAGTGGTCGGGAATTTCCGGTATACTGCGTGCAGAATAACTAAACAATCATAGTCCTGTGCGAGCAGATATGACCTTCGTTGGTTTTTTATCCTGCCTGTATGTTTAGTCATGACATTAGATAGGCTACTATAAATTGCCAGGCACCCACTTCCGCCAATTACAGACAAACTCTTCCTATTCTCAATCGTCACCAGGTAGTTACCCAGGCTTGGGAACTTCTCCCTCTCCTCTCAGGGGATGACTAGTCTGTGCGCAGTATCTGGTGATCCCGTGGAGAGACTACAGATTACAGTATCACAGGCGAAGATCATGACTTAAAAAGACAGCTGCAACTCTGCTGATCACTCCCGACAGTGCATGCAGGGTTGAGACATCCTAAGGTGGTCAGTTAGAATGAGTGTTTTAACTAGACCCCTGACATGCCCAGCTCTAGCGGTGAAACAACCCCTTGGCAGCTCTGACACGGGCACTGCATGTCACACCAGTCTACATGCAGGGCAATCCCTGCATGCAGTGGGGCAGAAAAGATACGCCCCCCTCTCTTCGTGTCCTCAAGCTGACAGCCCAGCATCAAGGGGCAATCTTTTGCCTAATAGTCGTAATATAGTAGGTTCATTTGCAGCATAATCTATGGGTCAGTAGTCCGTATCCAACATCTTCATCATGGCCAAATCCACTAGCTCACCAAACGATGTTCTTGGGACATTGTACGCCATCAGTGCCAATTCTTTCGATGCGGAGAGTGATCGCATTAAGGCTCTCTTGGCCGCATATGCGCTAGTCAGCCGACTTGAGACCCCTTGGGAAAGGATCGCGAGGATGTGTATGGGCGAGGCAAGTCCCGGCCATAGTTGTGATATCGTCAACAACGAGAAAACTAATTAGTCCGAGCAACCAAAGCCAGCATTATCAGCGAGCTTAAAGGTAGTCAAAGACCTCCAGTTGTTCGAGAAATGGCATGCCAATGGCGATGAAGCGCGAAGTGGGGATGAGTTGGCTGCTCTGGTCAACTGCGATCGGGACCTTCTTGGTCAGTTTAGAGTCCTCAATAAAGAAATCGGGCTTGTGCAAATGTTCTAACGGGTACAATCTGTTCAGGCCGAATTCTACGTCACCTGGCTACAAACCACATTCTGATTGAGCCTACAGCCGGGGTATTCAAGCCGACAACCTTTTCTCTTTCTCTTTTGCAACCTGTTTTCGGGGAATGGATCTCTTATCTGTGAGTATATGGCTGAGTGAAACCAAAGTCCCCCGCTCTGATCGTTCCACTACGCTGGACTCATGCTGGCGACGCAAGATTTGATGTCGGCATCCCCGTCCTCCACAAGACCCCTGAGTTTTTGCAGAAGACTGGCTATAAGAACCCCACCGATCCCAGAGATGTGGCTTTCCAATACGCCAAGGACTATCAGGGCGACATGTTTGACTACTTCACCAGCCATCCGCGGGAAGGAGCATCATTCAACCATGTCATGGGCGGGGTGATGGCTCATCAAGCCGGCTGGCTGGAAATCATCCCAGCCGAACATTTCATGGACGGATCAGATCCCAGTGGGCCATTGGTGGTCGACGTGGGAGGAAACATCGGCCACGATATCGAAAAGTTCCGCCAGGTCTATCCAGAGACCGCACACCGACTCTACCTTCAGGACTTACCGGCAGTGGTTAAACTCGCCAAATGTCCCGACCCGGTGAACATAATGGCTCACGACTTCTTCCAGCCTCAGCAAGTTCTAGGTAGGTAACCCTTCTAGCTGTGAAAGCTTAAAGACAATACTGAGGGTGGGCTCCTACAGGATCTCGTATATATTATGTGCACGCTGTTCTGCATGATTGGTCGGATGAGCCGGCGCGGCAGATTCTAAAGATGATCCGGAACGCTATGAAGCCCGGGTATAGTAGGCTGCTCGTTCATGACCATGTGATGCCAGAGAAAGATGCCCATCCACATGCAACTGCGTACGATCTTACCATGATGGCCCTGTTAGCCGGGGTCGAGCGCACCGAGACGCAGTGGCGGGACTTGCTATCCTCCGTGGGATATCGGATGGTAAAAGTATGGCGGTCCCCTTTGGCTGCACAAGCAATCATTGAGGCTGCCATGGCAGATTGAGTTTGATAAATTTTCTATACGTGCTTCTTGTGCCGTTGTGGTTGGAAAACATCTCCTTTCTATCTAATTTCAAACCAATAATATGGGCATTTACAAGTGAACTTTTACATTTACTAATTAGGGGTGAACGTGGCAGCAAATAACACAAGCACTACCTAGAGTTGCGATGTTCTCCACTGCAGGTTTGACACATAATGGCCATGAATGGAGAAGAAGAAGAATAAAGAAAACAAAAAGAAATAAGAAAAAAATCGAAGAGGAAGAGTCACCGAGACAGAGATAGATCGAAACTCAAACCACAATGTAGCATGATATTAAATAGAAGCAAGCAGGAATTGAAATGAGGCATTTGATGATGCAATGATTATTTTTGCACTGCGTAGAAGGCAACAATGCACTGTGGAGGAAGGCGTGTAATGACGTTGACCATGGATAGCAATTAATAGTACTGAGGGTAATTTCTTCTCGCTCGCCCTGCCATGTCATGCGTGGCACCTCATCCCTTGCCTTGCTAACTGATGCTACTTTATCCCCCCACTCCCCCTTGCTAGCTCCAATATCTCTCCTCCTCTCCATATCAGCCAGCCATCACGGAAAAATTCCAACCCCGCCCTAATTCTCCCCCGGACTATCCCATTCCAGCCTACCCTTTCCCTGTCGATGTCCGCATACTTAACACGTAAGCCAAGCCATCCCTGACCTCTTCGTTCAGATATACATTTAGATCTGAGCTCAGCTATGACAAAACTAGTAATACGCGCCTTTACCTCCTACCAGGGGCATTATAGGAGTCCGCCCTGCATGGATACAAATGCCCCCAGATCCCTATCTACTGTTTCCTAATCTCGCATGAAGACCGCCACATCATCTTCGACCTTGGCATCCGCACCGACTGGGAGAAAGCAGCTACGGTCGTGAGTGACTGCACGCGCGACCTAGTTGACATCTTGCATGACCCCGTGGACCATCACAGTGCACTAGGCATTCGTTCCTCCGACATTGAAGCCATCATCTGGTCACACCCTCACTTCGATCATACGGGTGACCAGTCGCAATTCCCGCATACAACCGAGCTCGTTGTCAGACCGGGTGTCAAAGGTAGCTCATGGCCTGGTTACCCATCCAACCCGGACGGTCTTGTGCTGGACAGCGACGCGGCTGGTCGCTCTGTCCACGAGATCCACTTTGACCACGACAACCCCTTGCGCGTCGGCCCCTTCAACGCCGTCGACTGCTTCGGTGACGGCTTCCTCTTTCTCCTCGATGCTCCGGTCACGCTATGGGCCACTTGTGTGGCCTCGCTCGCACAACCGCTAACCCACCCACCTTTGTCTTCATGGGCGCGCGTTGATGCCTGCCACCATGCGGGTGTGCTAAGGCCATCGCCACATTTGCCGCTGCCGCGGCCCCAAGCAGAGGCAGAGGGGAACTGCCATGATTCCCGACTTCAAGTAGACAACTATGGAAGCTGTCTAGGGGATCTGTTGGAGTAAATTGCGACGTGGCAGAATCCCCATAAACCCTTCTTTCAGGTTGCTCGAGGACCGATTTGCGGCAACCATCTAGCTGCAATGGAAACAGTCGCGAAGTTTCAGGAGTTTGATGCGTTGGATAACGTTCTGGTATGGCTGGCGCACGATGACTCTTTGCACGGTCAGTTGCCATCGCTCCTGAGCGCGTCAATTATTTGAAGGCTAGGGGAGTGGGCGAGGATACGAGGTGGTTGTTTTGTCGTGAGATGTAGCATGTAGATGTTGATACAAGTAGGTGTTCTTTCAATTTTTCTACATGCACTCTTTCTGACGGGTTAATTTGTATGTGGGTAATTAAGTTACCATCTTCAGTGGAGGTGTTGTATGCATTAGTTGAAGTATCTATTGAGTTTATCTTCCATTTTCATGGGTCATGCAATGCATGCTTCTAGCATATAGGTTCCTTGGCGTAACCTTGAGTTTATTTTGCAGTTAAGTATCTTCTCTCAGTAGTTAGAAGACTTCATGTTCCAATTTCGGGCATTCATTTGCCATTCCCATGATTTTGATCTCAGCTAGACCCGAAAGGTATATGACAACTCTAATCTACTCGCCTTTCGAATTTGTTGACATATATCTCGTCGTCGTAATATCAACGGCCACGAAAGTCCTATTTGAAAGACCCAATGAAGCCCATCTTAACCATCTCGTTATATATTACTCGGAGGACTCGGCCTGCTTCGCTGCCAGATATCCGCAATAGCCCTGCAACAGCACGATTTTCATTATCCTGCGCGAAATTGATGGCCTTGCGACAATGTCTCTAGTTTTCGCCGTCAAGTCAAGCTCCCACATCACATAAATCATCTGGAACATATTGATCCAACGCTGTTCTCATATATTCCACTATTCGTGTTAAGCCCTATACCAGGCTGCGATTTCCCGATAAACTATTGGCGGTTGCATTTATTCGCTGATTCCATTTGCAGGTACTTCTGCGTCAAACCAGGCTATGCTCTATGGGTACATCGACTTCAATGGAATCATTTCCCAGAATCTGGCCAGCAATCCACAACTTCTCCGCCCTCACGCACAGCAACTATAACCGACCCTTCTCCGCGCAACGGGTTTCCATCCCACAACACCAAATCACCTGTGTACTCTTGGCTACCATTGGCATCGGAGTCAAGTCTCAGAATCCGCTCAATGTTGGACGATACAAGCGCGACAGCCTCCTTATCACTCAGTCCAGCTTGCTTAGCCGCCCAGCGCGCCTCCCGCGCTAGCCCATGGAGTCTGGAATCACCCTGCAGTGCTAAACCAAGCTGCACACCTGCTTCAATCAATACCTCGGCTGAGCTATCGCTGAGCGGGGGCCCTGGAAGCGCATTCTTCTTTTCCCACTTATCAGGAGCCCCGAGGTTGCCGGTTAGGATGACTGGGATGCCTGCTTCAGCTAGGGGTTTGGCGACCTAACGTAGGGTGTAAGTTATAGTGACATTGACTGGGATAGAATTAAAGGCTGGCTTACTAGAGCAGCACCATGGCCACCGTATATAATTAGATTGACGGAAGGAAACTCTCGTTTGACTCGAATCAATTGAGAGATGTCGTCCTCGTTGTATGTCTCAACCACCAGTGGAAGAGAGCCATTTGCAGCCTGTGCATATACGCTGTGCTGCTCTGCGTCGCTTTTACTTCCCTCCTTCAAAATCTGGCGCAGGGCTTGGATTTCTGAAGCAACAGTTGGGGTATCTCCATCTGCATACATTTGTTAGCCCTTTTCCTTTTGCATCGCAGAACACCAATGTACTCACCCTTGGCCCCCTGTCCAACCGAGAAATGAAGCGCCACATCGTCCCTCCAGATTCCTCCATCTAATATCGTCGCGTTAGGATCAGTTCGCAACCCTACACTGACACCCTTGATAAGTCCACTACCATGCGGCGGAGTAATCGCTTTTGTAACTCCTCCAATCCTCGCTCTGTCAAATGCAACCCCATGTAAATGAGCTCCATATTTGGCAAAGTGGACGCTCTTTGCTTCGTTCAAAAGATCGCCAGTTGCACCGCTTGATCCGTCGCCTGTCGACTCTTCGGACGAAATTGCTTGAATTCCAAGGTCATTGCCAAAGGCAATCAGCCCGGGAGTAATGTAGCCATTGTTTAGGGCTACTTCGGTGACCCCATCGTCCTCGCCTCTTATGCATGTCTGTTTCGCACCGAGGCACGAAGCCTTGTTATCTTCTACCACGAGGACTAAATTTTCGGCCACTTGATCAAGACTTGGGCGGTCGATAAGTGCTTTTTGAATACCGGTAAACACGAGACGTGGCTTCGAACAGACATTGATCCGCTGGTCGAGGGCTACTACCGGTCGCGTTTCGGGTACACGTTGCAGATCATCGAAGCCGGAAGCCAAAGATTCATCTGCAATGTCTCCCTTCTGTAACAGCGCACCTCCGTCAATGAAAACCTCGACAGCCGTGGCCCCGACTTGGAGCGGATGGCTATCCCATATGACGATGTCGGCGTCGTAACCTGAACGGACGTATCCGATGCGGTGGTCCTGCTGCATTGATTGGGCTGGTACTGACGTGACTGACTGTAAAGCCTTATCGGCCGGTAAACCGAATGAGTGAGCGATAGAGGCTTGGTCGCTATTACAGTATTAGTAGCCTGTCGGAAGAGATGCTGGGGCGCAACTAACAGAAGGTACTTGGCATAGTTCTCTTCCCCGGTGTGATCCTATAATTATATCAGTATTATTCCGTATCTATACAGTTCAGTAGATTGCTCTCATACCGACTTGAAAGCAACCCGCACTCCATGATCATTCAGTATCTTTCCAGCTCGCAGATTTGCTTCATATGCCTCCGCCTTGTACAGCGCATTGTCCGCGAATGTGGCAACCGTGACATTCCTGCATACAAAATTAGTACCACCACACCTATAAAGATTACATACTCACGGCTCCAAATGCTTCAACAGTTCCGGCACCTGCCACGCTTCCAATGCATGATGGAAAGCCCGAGGATGAATACCAAACTCATGGAGTACAGCCAGCATGCGCTCCAAATCCTCCGGCGTATAACAATGAACATTCACATTCAGCTCTCCTCTTATCAAGGACACTAACGTACCCAACTCGAATGAATCGGGTCGCCGTCCTTGTTGTTCTAGGAAGCGTGATATATGCCGCGCTCGATCAAACCTGGTGTGCTCGATCTCCAACGCTCCGCGACACCAAGCATCCTGGCGCTGCTCTAGTTCTCGCGCCTCCGCAAGCTTCTCTCTCAAGAGCCAAGCAAGTCCCATCCGGGTGTGCTGGTAATTGCGTTTCGGGTTTTCACCACACGCCATCTTAAGATACCGCTGGCGATCTTGCTCCGGGATACCGTGCTCCAGGAGCAATTCCTCGATTACGGGTTCACCGTGTTCACCTGAAAAAGGCAGGTTTTTGACGGGGTATGCCTCGCCGCCGACGATGTTTGCTGAGCCGGGTAGGACAAGCGAAGAGGTAACTCCGCCCGACGCGATGATCTTGATGGTTGGATCAGACGGCGTGAAGCCGTCGATTGCGCGCACAAAGTGAGTAACTGGTCCGAGCGACTTCTCATTCACATCACTCGTTGCTACCACTTGAGGAAATGGCATTACCAGGTGATGAGAGTGCATATCCACTAGGCCCGGTGTGACATGTTTGCCATGGACATCGATAATATTTGCGTTCGCGGGCAGAGCATCACCTGACCCAGTGGAAACAACTGAGGTGATAACACCAGCCTCGAAGACGATGTCTACGGCGTCTGGAAGCGTCGTTTCGCCATCAAAGAGGGTTGCGTTTTGAATAACGACTGGGGTGGCTTGTCCAGAGACCGGGTTCCATCGGGGATTGTTCTGTCTTAAGCTGGCCCCAGCATCTGGCGCACGCAGTTGACGTTCAGCGTCGTAGCATTGTTGCAGTCCAGTGTAGAATTCATAATGCGTGGTTGCACTGGTTGACAATAGCAGTTCCCTTGGATTGGCTCCGACCAGCAGAATTGCCGCGGCACAGATCCCCGCACAGATTGGCAATTGCCATTGTCTTAGCGCCCGGCCTCGTGGTCGTTCAGAGGACGAGGTCCGATACATCGGGATAAACGTTTCCTCCTTGACAGCCATTGTCGAGCCCTCTGCTGCACAATGAAGCGGAAATGTCGAAGGGAAGAAGTGAGAGCTATCGCGGGGTGAGAGGTAGTCGGTCGACCCTTGCGTGACTGCAACCCGGTACGACGTCAGCATATCTGTCCAGTGGGTCCGGCCGCATTTCTTATCTCTATCTGTCATGTCCACTTAGGGCATAGTGCAATTGGTGGTTGACACTGGATCCAAGAGTTTTTCATTCTTCTGCCATGTGTTTACGAAGCCTAATAAATGTTTCTATTTCAGACAATAACCGAAAACTAGCGCGTGGCCTACCGATTGCTGCCTTCGTTCCTGTAAGCCGCGACGGATGAAGCTCTTGGCATGTCTTCCCGCTACGGCCCATCTTCACCGTCTTATCGACCACCAACGAACAATTCCATTTACATCTAGTGCTGACAGCGGATCAATGAAGCCTAAGACCCATCTGGCAATATTTTAACGAGCCGGCCTATCATTCGATTTTGAGCCTCGCTTCATACACGAAATGATTGGGGGCCATTTCTTGAATCGCTACCATTTATTTAAGGGCTCCTCCCTTCTCACAAAGTAGAATTAAGCATCATCTATTTTACCTCTGCTCGATCGCAATATGTCCAACCCAACCCTAGTCTTCTGTGCCGGTGCCTGGTACTCACCAGTAGCATTCGGCCCACTCATCGAGAGGCTTCCCGAATATACCTGTCGCACCGTGGCCTTCCCCTCCATCGAGAAAGCCAATGAAGTCAAAGACCTCCAGCCCGATATCACCGCCGTCCGCAGTGTGGTCGAGGCAGAATGCGATGCCGGAAACGATGTTGCAATTGTCTTGCACAGCTGGTCTGGTCTCCCCGTCAGCAGTGCCCTTGATGGACTCAGCAAGTCGGAGCGCCAAGAAGCGGGTAAGCCAGGCGGCGTGGTGAAGCTCATCTACCTCTCTGCATTCATTCCGGAGGTTGGTGAGAGTTTGATCGGGGCATTTGGAGGAGTGCCACCGGATTGGTATGTTCGGGATGTGAGTATACCTTTTGTCCTTATTGATATCTCGAAAAAGTGATTCAAACGTGGTGTAGGTGGAGAATGGCACCGTGCTGCCAGATGATCCCTTCAAGCTATTTTTCCACGATGTTCCCGATGGCCAGAAATGGGCCGAGACATTGCGACCCCATGCATGGGCGACCAAGAATAGCCCCGCCACAAGTGCAGCGTACCTGCGAATTCCATCTGCCTATCTGCTGTGTGAAGATGATCGAGCAATCCCATTGTTTGCACAAGAAGGAATGGTTGAAAAGGCCCGAGCCAAGGGAGCCACGTTCGAGACAGACAAGGTTAAGACGGGACATACGCCGTGGCTGGTGGTGCCGGATCAGGTGGTGGAGTTTGTGAAGAGACATGCATGAGAGTAATATAATTAATTTAAAGAGCAGCCAATTCGATTGACCGAGTCCTTCCATCTGCATCCTGCTTCCCTTGAAATGAGGGGTTCGAGCGTTGAGAATCACATCGTGGCGGGTGGTCCCATTGCCGGAGCCCGTCCGCGCCTGTCTTCCTGCATGAGGCTAACGGCTTAGTTGCTTGGTTTAGTCTTCTCATTACTCATTCACACTTAATATCCTGCTCAACTCTGCTACTACTGGCTCTCTCCTCTCTGGCGGAATATATAATACCCCTTTCCCTCAATACTCTCAGCCCGGTAGGGCATTGCACCTTTGCGCAATTCCGACCCCCACAAACCTCCGAACCCTGCATAAGTACCCCATCTCATCCTCATCGTCATCACAATCACGATCACTGCCACCACAATGGCACCAGAAACACCCTCACCACCCCCTCATCGCTCCCTCCTCATCCCCGAAATCCTCGAACGCATCCTCATCCACCTAGACATCCACACCCTCCTCTTCTCCCAACGCGTCTGCACCGCCTGGGCCTCTCTAATTCAGCAATCTCCATCCCTCCAACAAGCCCTCTTCTTCGCCCCAGCCCAATGGCCCAAAGAAAACATCATCTACAACCCCCTCCTGATCAAACATTTCCCCCCGTTCTTCCCAGGTACCATTCACAATGACCTCGTCAAACCGCGAGACTGCTACCCGCCTCACTTCCTCCCAATGCAATACGTCGGCAATGAGAACGCGTGGAGCCACCCCGTCAAAGACGACCTCACCCGAGCAGAAGTCTTCTACTCCGAGCTCCCTCTCCAAAACTATCCCCTGCGCCGTAAGGCGTACCTGTACCCTGAGGCATCCTGGCGTCGCATGCTCACCCAGCAGCCGCCCGCACCCCACATCCCAGTCCTCCGCGTCTGGTCCTGGGCCCGGGGCAAAACCTTTGATCGTTACCGCATCCCAGGCACATTGAAAGATGTGATGGATCTGGAGAGATACGTCCAACAGAACCCAAAGGACTCCGAACCACCCGAGCCTTCGTCTTCTCCCACTAACAACCTCGAAGACGGCGGAGGCGTCACAATGGGCCTCCTCTTCGATTACGTGACCTGCGATCTGGATCTAAAGTGGTGGATGATCATGTGGGGAGATCTGCCCCCCGTGTCGATGGCACTAGAATTGGGACCGGAATATGTAGATGCTTATAAGCGCGCAGCGGAGGATGGGAGTATTGTGATTCTCACATTTCAGATCGTGCAGGGGGCCGAATGGTGGTATGATATTGCTGCGGCGAATGCGAAGAATTTGAGGTTTCGTATTGTCGATGAGTATAGGGCTAGGGGGTGGGTCGGGGAGAGACCGCCTACGTTTTCGAATCGGTTGAGGGCCGTGGAGAACGGGAGATTTCCGCATTTTACCACGCAGGCGCCGTTTCTGGCGAGGTATTTGTTGCCGGGGTGGGGGGTTGCTGTGGGCTAGTTGTGGGTTAAGTGCGTACTAGATTTGTGTTATATTTTGTTTTTGTTGTCTGATATCGTGTGAGAAATAAGAGTTTGGCTATACACGGTCCTCCAAAGCATAGAGACCGGGTGTTGTACTGCTTTAGTGTATTCATCGAATGTAGCACATATCAATATCACGATAGCCGAGTACCAGCCCCTACTGCGCGCCCTTAATGATATCCGCCGCTCTCTCCGCCACCGCATACACAGTCGACATAGGGTTCGCAGTCGTCATAAGGGGGAAGATACTCGCATCACACACCCGCAAATTCGTAGTTCCATACACCCGAAGATTCTCATCCACCACTCCCCCTTTTTCCTGTGGAAGCATAGCCGCTGTACCACTCAAGTGATAGCTCGTAGTAGCAGTATCCCGCAGATACTTCTTTGCTGACTCCAGATCCGTCAGGAATGCATCCGGATGGTTCCGACATCCGCTCTCCACCAGATAATCTGCGATAGGCTTGACGCTGTGAAGCCTCTCAAGACTTAGTAGGTTTCGCGCCATTAGATCCATATCTAAAGGATTTGAAAAGTAGCGAGGTTCGATTATTGGTGACACCGTTGGATCCGCTGACGCGATGTGGACCGCTCCGCGCGAGAAAGGTAAGGTCTGGATGATTCCCAGACTCAGAAAATTTCCTGGTAGAAGTTTCTGCCCTACGAAACTCTTGCCAGATTCGTGGAGGTTCGCCTGTGCAAGGAACATGAACATCTGACAGGTGGGTTCATGTTCTTGCGCGTAAATGTCACGGATGACTTGGTCGCGCTCGTTCAGGTCTGGTGGGAAGCTGTCGAAATAGGCTATTCTGGCTTCTGGTTGCCCTGAGTATTCTATCAGTGGCATGTATGCGGAGGATTGGACTCCCCCAATTGTCATGGGTCCTGCTTTTTGCTCAGAGTAGAGTTGGAAGGCAGTTTTGATTGCCTCGGGCTCTTGTCGTAGCAGCGGGTCCCCGGTTGCAATCCCTGGCTTCACTTCGAAACTGATCCCGGTCATGAGATGATCTTGGAGGTTTTCTCCCACGTTCCGGTTCTCCACGATGACAGGTATGGAACACTGGTCGAGAATCTGCCTGTTTCCGATGCCTGAAAGTTCGAGGAGTTTGGGGGTATTGAGGGCTCCGGCGGTCAGAATGACTTCTTTCCTAGCTTTGATAGTGACAATTTGTCCATCAATTCTGGCTTCTGCTCCAGTTGCCGTGGCCCCGGATTCCTTAGTAGAAAACAGGATCCGTTGAACAGTAGCCTCAGTGATAATCCGGACATTACGCCTCTCCATAGCTGGCAGACCATATCCAGTCGCGGCATAACTCCGCTGCTTCTTCTCAAAGTCGACTGATGCCAAGTTGGAATAGCCGCCAGTGGATACACCCGAGAACGGATCTGCCGTACAGCCATACCCCATTTCCTGGAAAGTATCTACCCAGGCTTTTGCCAGAGGGCTTTCCTTCACAGCAGGAAAAGAGACTTTGATGGGACCTGAGTTGCCGTTGACCTCAGGATCAACCCAGCTCACGCCGATATGGCCGCGAGTGTCCTCATCCGGCAGCTGCAGCGTAGTCACCTTCTTATAATAAGGAGCAAGATTTTCCCATGTCCAACCGGTCGCGCCCAATTTGTCCCATGCATCAATTCCCGCCTTTGTGGGCGCAATGAAGGCCTGTCCATTGATAGCTGATGAACCTCCGAGAACCCTGCCTTGTGTTTCCTTAATGACTCGGTTGTTGAGTGCAGCCTAACTCACTCGGTCAGCGTTCGGGAATGGCTTGTGTTGAATATATGTGGGCTTGAATATATGTGGGCACCAGCTTAATCATACCTGAGGCGTTGACTGAAACTGCCAGTCTGCTTCAGAGCCCATCAGGGTGGTCCAAAGAGCGGGTGTTTGGACCCGAGGATCATCAATCAGGTTTTTCCCAGCTTCGAGGACAATAACCGACCGGTTGGAGTCACACTCGGACAATCGAGCAGCGAGTACAAGACCTGATGTTCCTCCGCCGATGATCACATAGTCTGCCTCCAAAGGTGTGATGGGAGAGGAAGTCATTGGTCGTAGCTTTTAGGTAGTAGATGCGGCGTTATACACAAGGAGGTTTGCGGAGGAAGGGTGAAGTATGTAGGGCTTTATGATAATAATCCTGAATGGCTGCAGAAAGCTGGCTCTCGCCAGACATTTATATTCTTAGCCCGAGAAATAGAAAGTGAAAAACGCAGCATGTGAGGCTTTATGGATCCTCGATGGTAAGATCGTCTTACACCCCGTCCACCCACCAATCGAAACAGTTCGTGTAATCCTGCCGCATGCTGAACAACGACACTTCACGATATCAGGATCCACTATTTCCACAGCGGCTCAGTATGAGGAATATCTTATACAAATATTATCTAGCATGATATCGTCGCGCCAGGTCAGCCTCAATGAATATCCTGATGGCTGCCAGCTCCAAGCTTCCCCACCCTCCGTTTGCTGGAATGGAGAGCTGATTTAGGGTCCGCATTAGTTTTTGCCGATACATGTTTGCTACATGCATAGAGGATTGCTTGCTTTTATGTTCGTTCGACATGAACAAATTGGCCCGGTCGGGATACGGAAATACGCGGGGTCGGCTTAACTCGGGTTGTGTAGCCGCACAAACATTGTGTTGGCAGTTATTCCTGTTATTTGAATAGATGAAGGCTTATTATCTTCCTCACAGTAGACAAAGTAAGTACATACGACCACAGGGTGTGGAAAACAGGGCTTCCCGTCCGCTCAGCCGTACTTAAGCCACACGCCGGGAGGTTAGTAGTTGGGTG